CACTTCACCAAGTGGTATAGAAAGCCCAGCAGTAAAAACATCATTCTCCACTGGCGATCAGCGCACCCTCTTCAGACGAAGCGTGCTGTGGTCAGGAGCATGTTCCGGACCGCAACACAAGTATGTACAGGAGAGGAGGAGAAGAAAGAGTCCGTGGAAATGGCTCGAAAAATCGCTGAGCTCAATGGCTACGAACGCCCTTCACCTTTACGTAGGACGACGGCAAATGGTGCAGCCAGTAGATCCAGAAACTTCTTGGACGGGAAAATACCCTTTCCAGTACCCTTCATCTCCGATGAAGTAAGCACTTCCATAAGGAAGTGTCTGAGGAGATCGGGTCTGGAGAATATTGTTGGGGTAGTGGAGGTCCCTCCCGATAACCTGAAGCGACGTCTCATTCGGAATCGTCTCTACGACCGCACATGTCAAACATCAGACTGCGTAGTCTGTCCCAATGGCAGGCCTGGAGACTGTGCGGTTACAGGGGTGGTCTACAAAATTTCATGTCAAAAATGTGGAGACGAATATATAGGTGAGACGGCTAGACCACTGTTTGTGCGGGTTAGGGAGCATTTGGATTGTAAGGTCAGGTCCGTACCTCGCCCTTGGTTGCCACAGGGTCGAAAGTCATAACGGAGAGGATTTTGAGGTCAGGGTCAACATCCTTGCGTATGCAACTCAAACATCCGCGCGAAAAACCCTGGAGGCATTTTGGATTCGGGTCACGGATCCAAAAATGAACCGCAGGGGAGAATGCGTGTCAATCACGCGCGAGCTAACCCCCTATATAAGGTTAGCCTTCCCACCGGATCCTGGATACGATCACGGCCGACAAAGCACCACATCGTCGAACGGGCTGATCTCGTGATCTCAAAGGTACGGTATTTGGTTTTTCCCTATTAATTATGTGATGGTCTAGTGGGTCTCGAAGGTCTCGTAGGGTGGTATGACATTTGATCGTATAAATCATAAATTGGTTTCCACTTCCAGGCTCCGAAGAAGGCAATCGTGCCGAAACGTTAGCCTACTACTGTGTTTAACAACCTCGTGTGAAGTTTGAAGACAAACAAATATTCAACCACTGCTTACTATTTTGAACATGAGAGGAACCATCTGCGTATTGTTTCAAACGCACTCCCGGGGAAGTTCATTTGTTTTTTTCTATTTTATCCGCTGGTTTCGCGCTTCTAGGATTCCAGTAACCATCTATGGGCTGTTTCGAACACTATCTCGCCGAGGAAGGAGCAGAAGAGCAGATGAGTCATCGCTCGCCGCGAGCCGCGTGGTCCCCCCCCCCCCGAATACGTTGAGCACCCAAAATAAGATCATCCCAAAAAAAGGATGTGGAAGATTGACAATATACATAATAAGACACAAAGAAGAAAGAAAACACGGGGGAATGCATGTGCCAGCACTTGAATATTGATTGCTCGGGGCAATTTAAAGTGGCATTAGAGCACGTTTTCTGCCATGGTATTGGCGTGCTACTTCACTGTCCAAATTCAGTTCCAAAACAAGCACTCCGGAAGTACTCATCCTCTACACAGTGTTCAAAAGCTTCCTTGAGAGTGGAGCTCCTGACCCATTCTATTCCGTTGTGACATTTTAAGGCCAGTAACGAATTCGTTCGTTTTGGACTGCTACAACAATCTGTATACTTGACTGTCGTGCCGCTGGCGGCTTCCAGTTCCCCTACCGCCTGGCGTCTTACCAGGTCGCCAGGCCCCTCTGACCTAGCATCGGTGCCTGGAGGGGAAAGGATCCGCCCTCGGCGCGAGGGTTGCAGGGGACTTACGAGCGCTTGCCTATGCTCGCCACGGTGTTGCCACGCGGGTGCTATGGTGCTAACGCAACCTGTAGGCCCTTACTGCCCCTACGCTATGTGCACACTACGGTCATGTACCTACTAACCCTCCTACCTACGCCCTATCCACGCGCCCTGCCTGAGGATACCTGCTCACATAGCTGCAGACTATGACGCCTCTAGTATACGGCTAGAACCAACAACCGGCATATTAATAACTATGCCAAGGACTATGATGAAACTGTGATGAATAAACATTCAAGAAATGTTGTGGTTTGACCACTACTGCTACATAACAATACTAAAGATACTTAGAATAGTTTACCTCTCTACAATGATAACTATGAACAAATAATAAAGAAAGAACTGCTAAAAAAGAAGGTAATGGTACGACCCTAACCTAAGCGGACGAACCCTGCCTCAACTGCCTACGGGCCACGAGGGAACAGCCCACTAGGGGCATTGGGAACATCCTCCCCTCCGGCTGCCCAGGAGGTTCGGATGCACCTCCGCCTCTAGTGGTTACCTGGGATAGTCGGCGGCCTGTAGTAGTGCGGCTCCATTGCGTGGTACTGCTCGTTGATGTCGAACTGCGACCAGCATGTATAGACAATGTCGTTGACACTGCAACGGAGAGCCGAGTAGCGACAAAGTGAGACGACTGCAGGACGTAGAAGTGACAGGTCAGAGTCGACGCCGACTCTGCATCCCTAGCGGCTTCGCGAACATTCGACCGTTCCGCCAAGCGCGCCAGGACCGCCGCGCCCAACCATAAACGCGACCCTTAAATAAGAGTCGTACAAGAATCACACAGTGACAATTTGTAAAACAAAAAATAACTGCGCTGTGATGTTCTTGTGACATCTTTCGGGCGGCGCGAAAAGCCAACCCCTTTGTCACAATACCACTCCCAGTTTGTTTACAAACTTTGGTAAGCTTCTAGAACACTTTTTTGGCTGCCAAAGGTAACAGGAAATAGTTCATTCGAATCACTTCTGAATGCGCCATGCAAACGGCTTCCACAGTGTTACAAATGGATCGAATGTGTACTTGCGTATGTTCATCAAATTGCGACGAAGTTGTGTGCGGACCTGGTATATCGTGTCATCGCCCCATCCCCACTTCTGAGCTTGCAGATTGCTCCTGTCTACAGGTGTCTCCTCAGGTATTCATCACACGCATAGGTCTTAAGTATCGCGAATAAGTCTTGCAATGTACAACATCCGAGTATAGCAGCATTGCCAATTTCAGAGAGGATCATGCTCTTACGATCCCTCCCCTCCCCTTTGAGATTATCACAACGACTGCGTGCCCTCTTCAGGGTGGGCCACGCTTTCCGTGCCTGCTGGGAATCTGTGTGACATTCTATGCAATATAGTCCATGTAGGTTAGCCAAAATTACAGATACCCAGTGTTTTCACTGTTTTGGGCACGTGTTGTTGTGATAATC